CGAGAAGTCCATGGCGGGGGAGTCGATGGCCATGGGGTTCAGGCGCATGACTCGGTCGAAGGCACTGGGGTGCTGGGCGACGAGCCCCATCTCCTCGGCACTGAGGCGGTGAGGGTCCAGGTGGTGGCGTGGTGGCGGGCTGAAGAGCGGCGGCGTGCCGGGCAGGCGGCCCTCGCCGAAGCCCGGGTGGTCCCGCAGGATGGGGCCCGTCATGCGCAGCAGGTTGAAGGGGTTGCTGTCGCCCAGGAAATTCATAAGTGGGGACTGCGCCACAGCCTCGGGCCCAAGCGGCGGCGGGATGGTGAGCCGTGGCGTGAGCGAGCTGCTGGCCGGCCCGGGCTCCAGGTAGATGCGGAAGCCATGCGTGTTCTGTGCGTGCTGCAGCAGGAACCACGCGCTGTTGAAGGGCTGCTTGCATGTTGTGCAAATGTAGCTGGAAGGCTCATCTTTACCTGAGGAGACACAGGACAGAAAGGCAGAGACAGGTGAGAGGCGGCAGGGGCCCACGCACCACAGGGCCACTGACCTGGAGGCGCTGGCCAGGGAGGGCTCCAGGCTGCTCAGGGGCGGGCCCAGCTCGGGTCTCCACCTGGCTGGGCCGCTGGAGAGGCCGCATCTGTGGCCAGCGGCCCTGGCAGCTGGATCTCACCCCTGGATTTGCTCCGGCAAAGAAAAGGTTTTCTTGTCCCCACTGTCTCTGAGGCCACTCGAGGTGAAATGGTCCCAGAAACCGCAACTATACAAAGGCTGGACTAAGGAAGGGCCTTCAGGAAGTCTGAGGAAAAATGCGATTAAAGGGCAAGTTTATTTCCGTTCTCCCCATGCCACTTTTTTTATAACACAGGTTTCTAGAACCCTTGGAACACCCCGTGTGAATGAAAGAGCCAGGGCAAGTCTTAACTCCAGGGCCCTCCTTCCCAGCTGAAGCATTTAGACCACCGTCTCTCTACCAAGGAACTGCTGACGTCAAGCTCTATCTGTGGTTCTCTACTGGAGGGGAAGGGGACAGTCCTGTGCATCTTGGGACGTTCAACAGCATCCCCCCCAGATGCCAGTAGCACCTCGTTCCAAAGTCCTGAAGTCCTGAGGCCCACAGCTGTCCCGAGACCAGCCAATGTCCCCCAGGGGGCAAATTCACCCCTCCCCTTCTCCTTAGAAACCACTGATTCAGACATATATGATTCAAGGAAATTCTACAAAAACACAATTCAAACTGAATTGTCTTACAGATATTTTGTTTTTAAGAGTCGGTCGTGGCACTGCAACGTCTGGGGTTTAGCGATAGGAAAATCTAGAGCTTCAAACGGAGGGCACTGTCCCCTGGAAGTGTGGACAGAAGGCACAGAGCACACCGTGAAGGCCTCTGACTGTGACCTCTGACTGTGCCCCACTCCCACGTCCTCACAGACACCCCACGCCCTGGTGTGGAGCTCAGCAGGGACCAGAATCCTGGGGACTGCAAGGACATCGTCACATGTGACAGGCAGCCGGGATGAACAGCAGCAACGTGTTAGAAAGGCCCTGCTGGCACCAGCAGCAAATTGTGGTGGACATTGGTGGCACCAAGCCAAAATGTCATGGTCCCTGTCACTGGGGCCGCCACAAATGGTGGCTGAACGGTCGTGCGGAACTGGCCCCACCTTCAGGGCTGCTCTGTGATACTTCCCATAACAGAGACAGGTGGGGACAGCCTCTGTCTCCTGTCATCAGTCAGGGCTGGGGAGGGAGAAGGGAAAAGGGACCCCATCTCAGGGCTGGCAGGACTGCATCAGGGGTCTCGACAGGCCCTGTCGTTTCTTCGAACTTTCCTGCACCCAAGATTTGAGTACGGTAGCTGCACATGTGCCACCCAAGCGACACGTGCCAATGATTTCCAACTCCTCTCTCTGTCAGGTGGTGTGGGAGCACAGCGGGGTGGGGCATAGAGAAAACAATCCCCCAGCCTGGCCTCCCCACCGATTTAAGGACTTCTGAAATCCCATGCAGAGAGCGGTTTTGTCTGCCACCCACTAATTACGTTTCTGGAGGGCTGCGCCGGTAGACAGTTTAAAGGCACATAAAGCACCGTGTGGAGACCATCTTTACGAGTCAGTGTGACTCAGACACCAGGCTCCAAACCCCTCCGAGGATTCAGTATTGAGTGCAGGACTGTCTCCCGAATTAGACTTGCTGCCTTCTGAGGAACCAGGGTGTCCCCGAAACACCCGTGTGTTCGGTGTCATAGAAGAGCTTAGGGCTACCCGAGGGGCAGGTGAAAATTCCTCTGGATGAATGGAGCACTCAGACTAAGACACCCAAGAGCAACTTTCATGAGTTTGGAGTTACACAGTAGGTAGGGAGGATGGACATTTTAAAGAACTGTGACGTTCAGCCTCACCTTGCTTTCAAAAGCTCCAGAACTCTTGAGGCTGTTTTCTTTCTCCAGACTGTCTGGGCCATTTCCTTCCCCCAGAGTGTGAGGGTAATTCTGCTCCCCACCATGGAAAGAGCAGGGCAGCCTTCCCAAGGCGGGGCGGCCGTGATTCTGGCTGCATGGTGGCACGGCCACCCCGGCCGTCCCCGTCCAAACGCCCCTCAGCTGGAAGAGCAGCGCTCAGCTACTCTGAGGCCACCATCTCCTGGCCTCCGCTCATCAGCTAATGGAGCCCTCAGCTCAGAGAGCCTCCTGCAGAGCTGCCTGGAGGCCAGATTCAGACCCCTCCTTCCGTCCTTTTTTGGAGCACGGCAGAATCAATATGTAATAAATAATAAGATAAAAGTCCTTTCTGATACAGAAGCTGATACACAAACGAAGAGCATATCCTACAGGGTATAGGTCATCAAATTTAAAGGCGTCTCCACGCCCTTCCCCCCGCTTCCCCCTGCAGACCGATTTATAGCTGGTATCGGCTCACATGTTGACACCCCTCACCTCCATAGCCCATCTCTTTTTCATCGCCCTCTCCTTGGGTAGCCCCATCACACTTCCTGTTTCTTGATCTGGTGGCCACACACCTTCTAGAAAGTTCTGTGGCTGGTGAGGAATGTGGGTATTTGAAGCAAATGCAGAACTCCTAGGCAGACTATGAACAAAGCTGAAATGGCCAAATCAAAATGTTTTAACCCAGAATGGCAGCTTCCAGGAAGCACTAGTTACATGTTCTCGAGGGCGCAGTTTCCCACCTCTTGTCTAAACTCTCACTCGGAGCAGCAGGAGGAAGCCTCCTGTCCGGAATTCAGCAGGCCAGGTTTCAGGACCCCTTGTCATGCCAGGGCAGGTCCTCATTTCCTGGGCCCCGAACCACTGTGATTCAGAGGCTCCCTCTACACAATGGTAGACTCCACTGCAGGCAACAGCCTTGCCGGAATCCAGCAGCTTCCATGTTTTAAACTCTCCCCGTCTTTGGGACCAGCAGATGACATAATGGTTACAGTGCTGGACTCCCACAAGGCCGACTGCAGTTTGAGTCCCAGACCCAGTGGCTTGAAACTCATGCCAGGCGCATGTGCGTGCATGCCCAAAATCCTAAGAGGAGAATGGAGAAGGGATTGCCAACCCCCCTGGAGGGGGGGGGGATTTCTCGTTTTCCGTCTCTCTGTCGAGGGCACATGACCTCGAGCAAAAATCTCTCTCTAAAAACTAAACAAAACGAAACAACTCTCCCTGTCCTCAAAGGCCCTCCCTAGACGACTCTCTCTCCAAACTCCCCTTCTCTTTTAATAAAATGTTCACTTCCATATTACCGCTCCATGGTTATCTCTTGCCTAGAAGTAGCCCTGAGCATGGGACTGTTCACTTGTAAGAATGAAACGAAGTCAGAAAGTCTTTGAAGAGCCACCCGGAACATTTTTCTATTTGAAAACTCACTAAATGTTTTAAACACGTGGCACACAGCCACAGACAGCTTGATCTGACATGCAGCAGACGACCCCTGGTGAGGCTGGCCCGCTGCATCCAGGGATTCAGCATTCCCTCGCCATCGCCTCGCCATCCCCTCACCATCTCCTCCCTCCTTGTACTCAGGGCCACCGCTCACTGGTGAGCTGGCCGCTACACAGTAGCAAGAGGCGGACTGCTGCCGGGGACCGCCCCCTCCCCAACAAGATCACTTCCATAACTGGGACTGCTGAGAGTCCCACTGACCATGCAGAAGCATTTCCCCGGCAGCACTGGGTCTGGCCTGCAGACCTAGGAATGCCAGCAGCACTTTGCTGGCTAAACCGCAGTTGGTAACCCAAGTCAGAGCCCGTACTTCCTTGCTTGCTTCCTTCCTTCATCCTTTCTCAGCCATTTCCCATGTCAGTGACTGGATCTTTGCTCTCTGCTTCCAAGCACGACTCCTTGGTGGCTTTCTCCAACGCCAAACCCTCCCCGAGGTCTCTCTGCTAGGAGAGCCCTGGACGGTGGCGTGGACTGACACTTGCACCTTGGTGTTCCCAGAAGATGGAAGTCAATCGTACCATGAAACCTCTCTGGGCCTGGAGTCCCTCATCAGTAAAATCACACACTTGCCTCCCAGGAGGGCTGGGGACAGAGTCCTGTGTGGGGGCACCCCCTATAATTCACACATTTCCATGTAGATGTCAGGGCGGGCTTTGTACCTTTGAGGTTTGGTTTGGCTTCTTATTTCTTGATTTTCTTAAAACAGGTCCTTGCCATTTGCGAGCCTCCTACCCCCGCCTCCCAACTGGGACCACAAGCGCCTGCTTTCAAACAAGATCTCGCTCTGTTGCCCAGGCCAGACTCAACGTTGCCCTCATGCCTCAGCCTCCCAAGGTCACTGGCAGCGTGCACTACCATGCCCTGCCTTTAGGGCGGACCAGGAAATGAGCCCGGGCCCCCTGTGTGGTCCCAGCTTCTTAGCATGTGCCCCCTCGGCTGGGCCTCATTTTGCTTTTATTATCCACCCTCTCCCTGGCCCTGGCTGTCTCCAGGAGGCTGCTGAGTACAACGGTGGCAAATAGAAAAGCCTGGAGGAATTTTTATGCAGCCTGCATCATGCATTAGAAGTTCCAGGAAAGCAGAAACTTGCAACTGTTGAGGAAACGTCATTTTTTATCGTGATGCTTGGGAACCGACACACAACTGGACTCCTGCAATGAAATGCTGCTCTCCCTCTGCCATTATACGGTTTTTAAAATAAGCATTTACAGAATATTCCTCCTTTCTATGCTTCTATGCTAATAATGCTCATAAAGGTATCAGGGATGTTCGATAAAAACATACCTTTAATTGAATTTAATTCAATGAAAAGGCCATGATCGAAAGTGTTGGGCCTGCCGAGGCCAGTGGATAGCAAGTGGAAGGGGATTCCTGTCTGGGGGAGATGGAGCCACCTACCGCAGTTTGAGAAGCACCAGCTTGAGCAGGGCCTGGGGTGTCCTAGGGTGGAGCGGTGGGGGAAGGACTGGAATGGGCCTTGCACAGCCCCCCGCGATTACAAAGCAGCTTACAGTTGGCTCAGCATTCTCA